CTTGAACAAGGCAACTTATTAAAGAAACACAAGAATAAACAATCTAAAATAGCCCTGTATCTACTCAAGAAGTTAAATTTGTTATAAAAGAACACTCCCCAAAGGAAAACTCTAGCTCCGCTTGTTTTCCTGGTAAATTCCATGTAACATTCCAGGAAGAAACAATGCCAACCTTACACACTTTTTCGGAAAATAGAGGAAGTGAGATCACTATCCAACTCATCCTATGAGGCTAGCACCAAAACCTGATGCTATGAAAAAATAAAATTATAGACCATACCCCTCATGAACATAGATGCAAATAACTCTTAACATCACCCAATTGAATCCAGCAGTTCAGAAAGGATCACACATCAAGACCTAGTAGGGGTAATCTCAACACAAGGCCACATCAAGCAGTCAAAACTCAGCCCAGGCACTTCTCTGTATCAACAGGTGGTACCACCGTCTCAACACCCACTCACGAGGAGGAAAACAAAACATCTCAGCAAACTGGGAACAGACGGGAACTACATGGGGCCTATAGCTAATCACACTTAATGAAGAAAGACTGAACGGTTACCTCCCACGATGGAGAAAAAGGGCCTCCACATGCACCATTCCAATGCAACAATGTACTTTCACACACTGAAATAAAGGGGGGAAAAAAAAAGAAAGGAAAAAAGGAAGAAATAAAACTGTCCCTGTTTATAGAAGAGAGGACAGAGTTCCATAGAGAATCCCAGGGAAGGCCGGGCGCGGTGGCTCACGCCTGTAATCCCAGCACTTTGGGAGGTCGAAGTGGGCAGATCATTTGAGATCAGGAGTTCGAGACCAGCCTGGCCAACATGGTGAAACCACATCTCTACCAAAAATATAAAAATTAGCGGGGCGTGGTGGTGGGCGCCTGTAGTCCCGGCTACTCGGTAGGCTGAGGCATGAGAATCGCTTGAACCTGGGAGGCGGAGGTTGCACTGAACCGAGATCACATCACTGCACTCCAGCCTGGGCAACAGAGTGAGACTCTATCTCAAAAAAAAAAAAAAAAAAAAAAGCCCCAGGAAGTCTACAAGAAGACAACAAGGTGACTGAGCAAGATGGCAGGTTATCAGGCTAATATAAAAAAATCAATTGTATTCTTAAATACCAGCTGCAAACAACTGTAAATTAAAATTAAGGAAAAAAACCCCATTTATGGCAGTGCCAAATACAAAAAGTACCTGAAAATAATTTAACAATAAACCTTCAAGACCTCTACCTCACTACTTGCAAAATACTGTTCTAAGTATTTTTCAGGGATTAACGCATTCAGTCCTCATAAAACTGTGAAGTCCTTCATCATCCTCATTTTAAAGTTGCGGAAACTGAGGCAGACAGGTGGAGAGACTTAACCCAGAGCTGTCAGATGGGTCAGGGGTGGGGCATAAAAACAGGCTGGGCAAAAACGACTCAGGCTCATCAACACAAGCACAGTCACGGCTCAGCCTGCTGGGACGTTACACCATCCAGCCCGGATATTCTGGAAACCAGACTTCCTGCCGCCGGTGACACGGAACCTGAAGATCAACCGCAGAGAAGGCCGCAAAGCCAACCAGAGACCCTGAACTCGGAATCTTGCCTAAATTGCTTCCTCCTGTTTGCCCTTTCAATTTCTCTTTGGAGGTCTGCTGAGTGCTGTGGCTCTCCCTTGCCAGATGAACAAATCCCACTGTTTCACGCCGCTCTTTGGTGTCTTTATCTTCCTTCCAACAAGGCTGTCCTTGACCTGTCCAGTACAGTCCCCACTGGCCAAATGTGGCCATTTGGCTAACATTAACTAAAATGTAAAAACTCAGTCCCTCAGGCAACATCTAGGTGCTCATGGTCACATCGCGAGTGGGTACCATATGGGACAGCACAGATGAGAACACTGCCCTCATCACAGAAAGTTTTTTTGAGACAGGAGTCTTACTCTGTCGCCCAGGTTGGAGTGCAATGGCATGATCTCACCTCACTGCAACCTTTGCCTCCTGGGTTCAAGCAATTCTCATGCCTCAGCCTCCCAAGAAGCTGGGATTACAGGCACCCATCACCACGCCCAGCTAATTTGTGTGTGTGTGTGTATGTACATATATATATATATATATATAAAATTTTTTTTTTTTTGGAGACGGAGTCTCGCCCTGTCACCCAGGCTGGAGTGCAGTGGTGTGATCTCAGATCACTGCAACCTCCCCATCCCGGGTTCAAGGGATTCTCCTGCATCAACCTCCGGAGTAGGTGGGATTACAGCCACGTGCCACCACGCCTGGCTAATTTTTGTATTTTTAGTAGAGACGGGGTTTCACCATGTTGGCCAGGCTGGTCTTGAACTCCCGATCTCGTGATCCACCCACCTCGGCCTCCCAAAGTGCTGGGATTACAGGCGTGAGCCACCGCGCCTGGCAATTTTTTTTTTTTTGAGGCAGAGTTTCGCTCTTGTAGCCCAGGTTGGAGAGCAATGGTGGGATCTCAGTTCACTGTAACCTCCGTCTCGTGGGTTCAAGTGGTCCACCTGCCTCAGCCTCCCGAGTATCCACCACCACACCCAGCTCATTTTGTATTTTTAATAGAGGCAGGGTTTCACCATGTTGGCCAGGCTGGTCTCGAACTCCCGACCTCAGGTGATCCACCTGCCTTGGCCTCCCAAAGTGCTGGGATTACAGGCGTGAGCCACCACGCCCGACCAATATATCCACTTTTAAATGTATTCCTAACAATAATACTCTGCGAGGGGTAATACTGCATGCCGAGCTATCTTCCACTTGCTTTTCCAGACCAGCTTTCCACCCTGCCCTGTGCTGTGTGTCAGGAGCCTGAGCCTGCCCCTTAGGAAAACCTACTGGGACCTGGCCCTCTACCACAGACCGGAGGCAGGAGCAGGAGGCTGGGACACGGGCCTCCTTGCCCACTCAGATTGAGGCTTACACCTCCAGTCCAAGAAGCCCTCCCCAGTGACTCTTCCCTCTCCTGGTACTGCTGTCTTCCCTGATCCTTTGGCGTCCAGGAGTAGAAACTCCACTGACACAGTTCCAGGATAAGGAACGAACCTATAGTCATTCACCTATACTCTGTTTGCAAACGGTCCCTTTATAAACCCTCCTCAAATCCTCCTGTGAGCACGAAAACTTTTTTTTTTTTTAATGTATTTGAGAAAGAGTCTTGCGCTGTTGCCTAGGCTGAAGCACAGTGGTGCAGTCTCGGCTCACTGCAACCTCCAACTCCCAGGTTCAAGCGATTCTCCTGCCTCGGTTTCCCAAGTTGCTGGGATTACAGGCGCCTGCCACCACGCCCGGCTACTTTTTTGTATTTTTAGTAGAGATGGGGTTTCACCATGTTGGCCAGGCTGGTCTTGAACTCCTGACCTCATGATCTGCTTGACTCAGCCTCCCAAAGTTCTGGGATTACAGGTGTGAGCCACCGCACTCAGCAGAAACCTGATTCTTGACTTTACATTTTTTTACGCCCATCTAAAGCAGTAGAGGCTGAGACTCAGAGAGGTTAAGTCACTTGCGCAAAGTCACACAGTATCCTCTGGCCTCCCTGGCATGTTGCTGACACCTGCATTTTACCGCAGGAATCTTCTCACTGAGGTTCGCATACACAGAGACTTCCCAAGGGACTAAGGCCAGGATAATTTCAAAGGAATCAATTTTCTCAAGTTTTGCTACGTTCTCTCTGCTAAAACAGAACTGCCTGAGGACGAACTTGCGTTTAAAACAGTATGAGTTATCCTTTTCTATTTTTTTTTAAATGGGTCCACCCCTTTACAAAAGAAAGGTATTTCTCCAGCGACATTGCCCGACAACTCTCTGATTCCCATCTACAGGTCCGCGTGAACGCCATTCATCGGTATCTACAGCTACGAGAACGTAAATGGGAACAGAACGGATAACTGGCTCTCACAGGGCAAAAGCCACCCACGGACAGTGACCTATCTGGAAATGCGTCTCCTTGAGGAGCGTTTACAATACAAAACTTTATTTTTATCATCCAAATGTGCATATATTTATGTTGTTTTGTGCAACTGTACACTACCAATAACCACTTTAAAATTCCAAAAGAAAATGTTTAATACTTAGAGCCCTACGTATTAGGTAAATACTTAGGCAAATTCCTAAACAACTTGATTCGGAACTCACGCGCGGCACCCATCCCTGTGACAGAGAAGCACGCGGGTGGCTGACAGGACTTCCGACCCCCAAACGCGGCTCTGCGGAGCGAGTGGGGCAGGACTGGGGAGCAAGGCGCCGCTCCCCACCGCGGTTCGCAGCCCGGCAGCCCTCCAGGCCTCTCAGCTCCTAGGCCGGGGCCTCTCCCGCTCCCAGCGCCCCGGTACTCCGCGGCAAAGCCGAGGCCCCTCCTCGCACCCGGGCCGCGACCACCCCCGGGAACCAAAATCCCCGCTCCCGCACTCACCGGCTCGGGAGAGCACGTCACTTCCGGGGCGTCGCAAGCGGCCGACCACTTCCGGGGCCTCTCGGCTTGGGCAGCCCCAAGGCCTGCCTAGTGCGCAGGTGCAGAAGATACGCCGGCGGAACCGAGGAGAGACCTTGTCCCTAGGAGCGGGAGCAGGAGGAACAGCGGGAAGGCTGCGGAGCGCTCAGCTGCACCCGCGCTTTTCGCCGGCGCCCTCGCTGCCCGAACACAAGGACAGCCGCCCCGCCCGTTCCACCCGGTGTCCAGGGACCCCCAGCTCCTCCGACCCCTCCGGCGTTTGCGGAGCCTCCCAGGTCTGATGAGGACACCGCCCTTGCCCGAGGAGGCTACTGGGCAACGCAGAGGAGGCAGTGGGGACCGCAGGGCAGCCCTGGGACGCCATCCCCACCGCCCTATCCCTGGCTCCGCCTCCCCGCCGCGGGGAATGCGGCGCGGACGCACGGGGACTGCCCAGGAGCCGAGGTGACAATCTACCGGGTCTTGGTAGTAAGTATTTGCAAAACAAATCACACCAAAATCCCATTAACTTCATGAAAACCCACTTTATAGGATGATTTTTGAAGAACCAGTTTATTAAGAGATTACACCAAAAGCATGAACAATTTATACGTCAATCTCCGGCTGAAAAAAAAAATTAACCGATAAGGATGTTTTTTAAATGTACTGTACTCACAAATAACAAGACAAATTTGACCTGTTCAATAAATAGAAATGAAGTGGCTAAAAATTTTTAAATGGAAAACAGTCTTCTTCTTTGTACAGTTTTGAAGGGATGCCCCCTATTCAAGCCTATACGTAGAAAATCTCTGACAAAATCAGAGGTTCACTTAAGACTCCAACCATATGAGTGTATTAAGGTTTCTTTTCAGATCTTAGGAGATCTTGTCCACCTTAATCCCATTCATAAAGACTCTTGGCATGAGTTCTGATGTACTGTTTTAATATCGATTCAACAACAAACCCTAATGGGTGATGAGCTTTTGCATACCAATATGAATTTGTCAGCCCTTCTGAAAATTGTGGTCATCATTTTTCAAATTCACAATTTGCTGGATGTCAGGGAACAAGAAGAAGAATGAGCGTCAATTTTCATATCTTCCTTTGCTTCTCCACTGGCCTTCCATAGAAGTAGTCAGAAAAAAACAAAGCACCATCAACCACACTTCACAAACAATTCATGTTAGCCTAAGCTTTTCTCAACATTCATAGGACAGAAGATAGAATAAGTTAATGAGAAGGAATTGCTGGCATCACTTTCCATCACAATATTACATAAAAATGGACAACACATTAAATAAACATTCTGTTATTAATCATTAAATATATTAACACTAAAAATCATGTATAAATTAGGAAATAAATGTACAAACTATTTTGCAAAGTGCTTTTTAAAATATATACACAACATTCAAGATATTCTTAATGTAAGACATTTCAGATTGAAGTTTTGGGATAAGTGTCCTTTTCTTTCAGAAAGTATTATTAATACAGCACTTAAAAAAACACACAAACACACATAAAAGGCATATTCCCAGATTGGCAAGGAATAAAAATAAACTATTTTCACAGTTATCTAAAATGTTTAACATTTTCAGTGGGAAATTTTAGTCCCCGATTGAGTTTGCAAATTAGTTCTATGAAAATCGACAGGAAAAGAACAAAATCAAGGGAGATGACTCCCTAACTGAAATTGCTAATACTTTTGTCAATTAGCAATTAACTCTCATTTCAGTAATTTAATATGAACATATACATTTATTTTTAAGCCCTTACCAGTGTTAAGGGTTTTAAAAACCCTTACGCCTACAAAATAAACACTTCTATCCCCATTTGTGTGTGACATCTGTCCCGTAGAGGAGGGGAGAATGTCATAGAACAGGACTGGTATTCAACACAGGCAAGTCCTTTAATCTGTGCCTCAGTTCTTCATCTCTAACATGGGAACTGTTACTCCAGATTTCCTCATAGGGGCTGTCAGGATTAATTCAGGCAAAACACATAAGTGACTTGTAAATTCTAAAGCAACTCTGGATAATTACTTTTAACTTTGTGTGTGTGTGTGCGTGTGTATGTGTGTGTGTTTTTTGAGACAGAGTTTCACTCTTGTCGCCCAGGCTGGAGTGCAGTGGCGCAATCTCGTCTCACTGCAACCTCTCCCTCCCAGGTTCAAGCCATTTCTGCTGCCTCAGGTTCCCGAGTAACTGGGATTACAGGCATGCACCACCACGCCTGGCTAATTTTGTATTTTTAGTAGGGACGGGGTTTCTCCATGTTGGTCAGGCTGGTCTTGAACTTCCAACCTCAGGTGATCTGCCTGCTTCAGCCTCTCAAAGTGCTGGGATTACAGGTGTGAGCCACTGTGCCCGGCCAAGAATTTTAACTTTTAAAACAAAACATCAATTGAAGAGAAATATTGTTATTAGTAGGCCTCATATATCAAGCATTGGATATCTTTTGTATTTTCTTGGTAGTTCTTGGAAATTCATCAGCATTTATCCAAAGATTTTTTTTTAAAAGGATTAATGGCAAATATGAATATTATTATTCCACATAAAGGTTGATCAAAAGTCCATGCTACTTATTAATGGGAATGTGGGATTTTTTTTTTCCTTTGACCATACTTTTGCAAGTGTGCTGTCTTTAATGTTCACACAGAATTTAAACGGGATTTAATGTCCTAGAAATGTAAAAATTACTCAAGTTTCTCTATAAAAAACCTTTACTTTTCATTAGAAAGAACACAGTAATGTTAGTGGATGTGACTTTCAGACATCCCTAAAAGAAAAGAAATGCTTGCTTGGAGATCTGAGCAAGTAGGTCCTGGAAGAAATAATATAAAATAAACAACTTGCCAACTGTTTGGAAAATTCGATTCGAATATTTTAAATTACCTATCAACTTAGAATCGGGTGTATTAACTATTCCAATCCCAGAAATGACCATCAGCTAAACAAGGGTCAGAGCCAGAGTAATCTCTGAGGGCCACTTCCCAGAGAGCTGTCTCTTTCCTTCAGCAATGCCGCCGGCCCTGGGTCAGGCAATTTGTCCACGGCCCCTAGGGATCCATGTTTATCTGGAATACAGTCATTGATCCCTGTTTACTTTTTAATTCAAAACTATGCACCTTTTTGGATAAACGGAATTGGCGAGAGACAGGCAATGAGCAAGCTCGGGAAGTGGCCATCTGTGGCCTCTCCCGTGGGAGGTGCTTATCCTTTTCGTTATGTGACAGAAACTGGCCCAACACACAGAAGATGCCCTCCCACCCACCCCATCGAGGCACAGGAAGAGGCTGCCCTCCAGGGGCTGTATGTGTGTCCAGCTGTGGTGTAGCCAGTTAAAGGAAAGTTGACAACCCACACGACAACACTGCATGAGGAGGGAAGTGAGACCTAAGGTCTGCTGACGGGAACAGGTGGACTGTGGTGTCCTCACAACCTGTCCTGTCCCTGGGTACAGATGCTCTGATGACAAAATGACCCCTGAAGCTAGCTAGAAACATTGAGAAGGGGGCAGGGGGACAAAAAAAGGATACCTCTCCATGTACCGACATACAATACTATACACAGCACCAAAAGTATCACACCACCAAGCGCTGTCTTGCGCCAGGGGTGCGCGCTCGGCGTCATACCCAGCATGAAATGAGCACGCTTCACATGCAGACGTGGCACTGGGCGAAAGGGTAACCAACATGTCACAGTTCACCAGAGCTGCTGCCAGCCCATCCGGCCCCTGGATGAACACGCTACCACGAGGGTTCCAGCCAGAACGTGTGTCCCTCACTGCTGGTAATTTCCATACTGGCCCTAAAAGAGATCAAGACACAGATTACACCCCTATAGTCACGAGTAAAAGGAAGACAGACGTCCACCCCAGCCAGGACGGGGTAGGAGGGACAATGGCAAGCAAACAACCTCTGCCCTCATCTCAGGCAGGCAGCGAACGGCTTTCCAGAAGCCACCGGTCAAGCCTGGGGCTAACAACGTAGAGAGGGCCAAAGGTTCATTCGTTCAGTCACACACTGGCATCGCTGCGGCTGGGCCTGTGCCAGGCCTGGCATCAGAGCCTTACGCTGGGCCTGCTATGCAGGAAGGCTCTCCTCCAAGTTGGTCCCCTGGGAGCTGATGCAAACACCATCTGTCCCCCAGCCCGCTAAAGTAAGAAAATGGGAGCGGGGACGACCAGGGTAATGCGTTTCAAGCTATAAAAAAATCTGAAGACCCAGCCTGGGCAACACGGCCAGAATCCATCTCTACAAAAATCCAAAACTTAGCCGGGTGTGGTGGCGTGTGCCAATAGTCCCAGCTACTTGAGGGTGAGGTGGGAGGATGGCTTGAGCCCAGGAGGTCAAGGCTGCAGTGAGCCATGATTATGCCACCACACTCTAGTCTGGGTGAGACACTATTTCCAAAAAAAAAAAAAATCTGAATTTGGAGCCTGAGGTAGGAGGACTGCTTGAGCCCAGGAGTTTGAGACCAGCCTGGGCAGCACAGCAAGACACCATCTGTACAAAAAAATGGAAAAAAGTACCTCAGCCAGGCGCAGTGGCTCATGCCTGCAATCCCTGCACTTTGGGAGGCCAAGGCGGGCGGATTACTTGAGGTCAGGAGTTCAAGACAGCCTGGCCAACACAGTGAAACCCCGTCTCTACTAAAAATACAAAAAAAAATTAGCCAGGTGGTAGTGGCACGTGCCTATAATCCCAGCTACTTGGGAGGCTGAGGCAGGAGAATCACTCGAGCCTGAGAGGTGGAGGATGCAGTGAACTGAGATCATGCCACTGTGTTCCAGCCTGGCAACAGAGTGAGACCCTGTCTTAAAAAAAAAAAAGAGGCCAGGCATGGTGGCTCATACCTGTAATCCCAGCACTTTGGGAGGCTGAGGTGGGAGGATCACCTGAGGTCAGGAGCTCGAGACCAGCCTGGCCAACATGGCAAAACCCCGTCTCTACTAAAAATACAAAAATTAGCTGGGTGTGGTGGCACGTGCTTGTAATCCCAGCTACTCAGGACGCTGAGGCAGGAGAATCGCTAGAAGCCGGGAGGCGGAGGCTGCAGTGAGCCGAGATCGCACCACTGCACTCCAGCCTGGACAACAGAGCGAGACTCCGTCTCAAAGAACAACAACAGACGAAAACAAAAAACAGCATGAAGAGAGAACTAGAGAGCCCATGCCCCACAAGGCCACAAGACAGAGAATTCCTTGAGCAGCGAAACGGAGCATCGGATCTGTGGTAAAAGCCGCTCGGGTGACTGCCACAGAGGAAGACAACGGATCATTGCATGCCTGAGTCTCCCTGTGCCCCCAGCTAGTCAATGATCAGATTTCCTGAGTGCCTGCAGCAAGGAAGTCAGGGAGGGAGGAAAGCTGTTCCCGCCTGACCGAGAATCCAGTCCACATAACGTTCCTGGTGAACACAGCCCGTCACATTTTCATTCCCAGAGCCGCCTGTGATGGTCCTAGTTAGCAGAAGTCCGTTCTGATGTCTTTCTGCCCCTGCACCATTGGGTAAGATGGAAAGCCTCAAATCCAGAGCTGCTCAGCTGAAGGCATGGCGGCCCTTGAGCCCTGTAAAACCGCGGGCAGCCCCAACGCCTCAGCACTTCAGTGTTTTTTTTTTTTTTGAGACGGGAGTTTCGCTCTTGTTGCCCAGGATGGAGTGCAATGGCGCGATCTCGTCTGTCTCCGTCCGCTCCCGCCCACCTCGGCTTCCCAAAATGCTGGGATTATAGGCGTGAGCCACTGCGCCTGGCCACCTCAGCACATTTTTAAGTGTAGCCCAGTGGTTCTCAAATGGAGACAATTTTGCCCTGGGGGGCATCTGGCAATGTCTGGAGCCATTTTAAATTGTCAGACTGGGCAACAGGGGTGCTACTGGCATCGTGGGTGGAGGCCAGGGGTGCTGCAAACATAACACCGTGTGCACAACGGCCCCTAGGAGACGCCCAATGCCGGCAGTGCTGTGCCAAAACGCCATGGCCAGTTACACTTGATTCTGACTAAAGACTATGTTATGTTAATATTCTGCAGTTAGATGGACACATTTCCCCCTAAATGTGGAATTCTCTGTCTTCTCCATTGCTTTGTGTCTTTTTCTTTTCTTTGTTTTGAGATGGAGTCTCGCTCTGTCACCCAGGCGGGAGTGCAGTGGCGCGATCTCAGCTCACCTCTGCCTTCCCGGTTCAAGCGATTCTCCCACCTCAGCTTCCCGAGTAGCTGGGCTTACAGGCACCCTACTAATTTTTGTATTTTTAGCAGAGATGGGGTTTTACCATGCTGGCCAGGCTGGTCTCGAACTCCTGACTGCAGGTGATCTACCAGCCTCAGCTTCCCAAAGTGCTGGGATTACAGGTGTAAGCCACCATACCTGGCCTTTCTTTTCGTTTTTTTAAGACAAAGTCTTGTTCTCTATAGTCCAGGCTGGAGTGTAATGGTGCAGTCACGGCTCACTACAGCCTCGAACTCCTGGGCTCAAGGGATCCTCCTGCCTCAGCTTTCCAAGTAGCTGGGATTACAGGTATGCACCACCATGCCCGACTTTTATTTTTTGTAGAGACAGGTCTCGCTATGTTGCCCAGGCTGGTCTCAAACTCCTGGGCTCTAGCAATCCTCCTGCCTTGGCCTCCCAAAGTGCTGGAATTACAGGTATGGGCCACCACAACCAGTCACGGTCCTTTCATAGGTAGGCATAAAGTTATATGTCCTCTGGTTCAGTCTTATAATTTAGGACATTCACTTATTTCACAAATCCAAGTAAGTTATTTTCAGGACTGTATGAAGGAGGTATAGTGTCTCGTCAGAATCATTAATTCTAATTTGCATGCAGACTGCTGTCCTTCCAGACCCCAGCATGACGCTCCTGTGCAAGCCTAGAGGGCCAACCTGGGGCCTGCTCCCCACTGACCAGCGCCCAGCACACATTGGGGAGAGGCGGCCCCTGGCGTCGGCTGCAGTGGCCTCACAGTGTCCTGAGAGCACACCAGGAGCACTCCTAACGTCTGTGTAAATGCCTTGTCGGCATGCCCTTCCCAGGCATGACCTTCTGAGTACTGTGCCCTGGCAGGGGGCCTGTGTTACATGATCTTTAGGCTTCTCTACATCTACCTGGTGACCCTTTGCCCTCTTGAGGGAGGAGGACGAGAAGCATTTAAAAAATAGTATTCGGCCTCTTACCTACCCAATTCCCTGAGAAAAACAACCTTGATCGACGTAGTGCTTTGAAATTTTACTGGCGGTGTAAAGTGTCCCTAACACCTCTGGACAGCTCAGAGTCACCAACACAGAGCCACTTCCTGCTAAGGACTCTCTCAAAGGAGGCTCCAAAAAATGTCCAAGACCATTCTCCTTCGTATGCCCCGTGCTCCAGCCACCGAGCCTCCCTCGGACTGCCTTCACTGGGACAAACCTCCCGGTGCCTCAGGACCTTGGCACGCCCTCTTCATGTGCCTGGCTCATTCTCCTCTAGGAGGCCCTCGCTCCTGCAGTGCGCCCGCCACACAGACCCTGTCCTCCTCCAGGGGCCCCATCCCACTCAGAGGGAAGGCGATGCCTGCTTTATGGAGGCCCCCACGCCCACCTGTCCCTGTCACCTCCCGCCAAGCCGGCCTCCTCACTGTCCCAAGAGCTCCCGTTCTTCCATCTTCCAAGCTGCTCTTTCCTCAACTCCTTCAAAGCCCTGCTTGCTGTTCCTGGGCAGAAAGGGCTTCCCCCTCCCTGGGCTGAGCCTGGGGCTGCCAGCCACTCCCCGCTGCGTCTTTGTCCTGGAATTGTCCACAGGGGCCAAATGCAGCCGCCTGTGCCCCCACCTGGAAGGCGGGCTCCACTCGGGGCCCCCCGCTCTGATCTCAGCACGGTCTGGCCTGTGGGACAACCTTATGTCTCCGTAGCGAGATATAAGCTCTGAAAGCGAAGGGTTCGTGGCATGGCCACACACCAAGCACCCAGCAGAGACCGGACACGTGCTCAGTACGCGACAAAACATTGGCAGAGTGAACGAATGTGAGGACCAGGCATGCAGATCTAATGGTGAGCTCAGGGTATGAAAAGCCAGCTGGATGACTGAGGTGAGTGTATACACAGAGGTAATTCTGAAAAACCTTACAGGCTCAGAGACTTAACATTCTGGAAGGAACCCTGGAAGCCAGTTAGTTCCAGCTCATTATTCCTCATGGCCATAAGAGAAATCTTCATTTATGTCTCGACAGGCGCGGTGGATGGGCACATCTGGAAACATCCAGAAAGCTTGCCTGTTCATAGCCGTAGGGCCGCTGCTGCTGGGCAGACGGCGCTGTCTGCGGTGCTCGGTAGCTTCCGTACTGCTGGCCTTGGCCTTGCTGGTAGCTGGGGTACTGTGACGGGGCTCCCTGGGCAGGCCCTGAGAAAACAGCAGGAACTGTGAGGCCAGCCACAATGGGCGCATCTTTTTTTTCTTAACTTAAAAATTTTTTAAAAACTTCTTCCTCTTTTCCTTAAAAAATCCCTGTCTCAATGCATCAGCCTTTTGTCAATCTCCAGAACGCCTGGCACCTGCAAGTGCTCCTTGTTAACTCTGTACAGCGAGAGCACCACACAACCGACTCACCAGCCCCTCCAGTCCTGTGAGGTCCCAGGACTGTGCCCCAGGCCCCCACCAGCATGGGGAGGGCTGATGGGTTCTCTCCATCTCCCCCGAGCTGCTGCTACCTGAGGGCAGGAAAGCCCTCCAGAACCCACTGGCACCAGTCACACTGGCTGCTGTAACTTGTAACTTAACAATCACAGGAGCTGCTGAAAACATGCAGGCAGGTGAGACAGGCATCGTCTCTAGGAAGCCTAAGTCAAAGGCTCCAGAAAGAACTGATAGAGGCCTTTTTTTTGTTTGTTTGTTTGTTTGTTTTAAAGACAGGGTCACACTCTGTCACCCAGGCCAGGCTGGAGTGCAGTGGCATGATCTTGACTCACCGCAACCTCCACCTCCCAGGCTCAAGCAATTCTCCTGCCTCAGCCTCCCAAGTAGCTGAGACCACAGGAGTGGCCACCATGCCCTGCTAATTTTTGTATTTTTTGTAGAGATGATCTCACTATGTCACCCAGGCTGGTCTCAAACTCCTGAGCTCAAGCAATCCTCCTGCCTCAGCCTCCCAAAGTGCTGGGATTACAGACATGAGCCACCACACTGAGCCTCAAGTAATATTTTCTTTTTACTTTTTGAGGAGTCATCTCGCTCTGTCACCTAGGCTGAAGTGCAGTGGTGTGATCTCGGCTCACTGTGACCTCTACCTCCTGGTTCAAGCAATTCTCCTGTCTCATATCCTGAGTAGCTGGGACTACAGGCCCCCACCACCACACCCAGCTAATTTTTGTATTTTTAGTAGAGATGAGGTTTCACCATATTGGTCAGGCTGGTCTTGAACTCCTGACCTCAGGTCATCCAACCACCTCGGCCTCCCAAAGCGCTGGGATTACAGGCGTGAGCCACCGAGCCCAGCCTCCTCAAGTAATTTTTATACTATTTATTGTAATGGCCGTAAAGGGCTGAACAAGCACAGCAGAATCAGGCATGAGCCTCATAAGAAACCATGTGTGTGTAGCTCATCCTGAGAACTGAGATTTTGCTCCAACAAAAGACCTGGGGCAGCCCAGAACTTATTTGTCAGAAGTTTCCTGGGTGATTCTAAGCTGCAGTGAAGGCTGAGACCCACAGGCTTTGACCTGCTCTGTCAAAGAGGTCGAAGCTGGGCATGAGGCGTGCAGGTGGCAGACAGACGGGACAGTGGCTCCCGTCACAGGCCACGTGGGCAATGAATTTATGTTTAAGTTAAAATAAGATGTTTCAGGTCTACATGCATGTATGTTTCCAACTTTTCTGGAAACATAAAGGTATTCAAAATAAGTTTATTACACTTCTGCCTGCACACCAGGGTCACTGTGCACGTGCCCATGTGCAGCAGGGGTGGGCGCTGGGGGGCCCCGAGGAACGTGCTCCCCTCTTACCGTAGCCCTGCTGCTGCCCGGGGTAGCTCTGCTGGCTGGGGTACTGCTGCTGGGAGTAGGTCTGCTGCTGCGTGGCGCCCTGCTGGTACCCAGCCTGCTGCTGGCTGTACTGGGAGTTTCCTGGAGGGAGGAGGAGACACGGAAATGACTTTCCACCTGGGCTAAGGGGGCTCATTCTGAGGCCCACTCACGACACGGGAACTTTGGAATCCCAAAACCAAATCCATTGCTTCGGCATGTTTCGTTTTTCACAACGTTTCAAATACTATATTACACCTTTTCTGTTTTTTTTTTTTTTTTTGAGACGGAGTCTCGCTCGGTTGCCCAGGCTGGAGTGCAGTGGTGTGATCCCGGCTCACTGCAAGCTCTGCCTCCCGGGTTCACGCCATTCTCCCGCCTCAGACTCCCGAGTTGCTGGGACTACAGGCGCCCGCCACCGCGCCCGGCTAGTTTTTTTGTATTTTTAGTAGAGACAGGGTTTCATCGTGTTAGCCAGGATGGTCTCGATCTCCTGACCTCGTGATCCGCTCGCCTCGGCCTCCCAAAGTGCTGGGATTACAGACGTGAGCCACCGCGCCCGGCCCATTTTTCTTATCTTATAGAAATACAAATGGAAAGCTAAGAAACAAAACGGCTAATACAACGACTAAGACAGAGATGAACGCCAGTGCCGCAGGTCAAACTGCTCCCCAGAGAGATGCTGAAGTCCTAACTCAAGTACCTGTAAACGGGACCTTATTTGGACATAGGGTCTTTGCACATACAATTTTTTTTTTCTTTTTTTTTTTTCAGAGACAGGGCCTCCCTCTGGCACCCAGGCTGGAGTGCAGTGGTGCAATCAGAGCTCACTGCAGCCTCCATCTCCCTGGCTCAAGTGTTCCGCTCACTTCAGTCTCCCAAATAGCTAGGACTACAGTGTGTGCCAGTGTGCCCAGATAACCTTTCTTTTTTTGAGACGGAGTCTCGCTCGGTCGCCCAGGCTGGAGTGCAGTGGCGCGATCTCGGCTCAGTGCAAGCTCCGCCTCCCGGGTTCATGCCATTCTCCTGCCTCAGGCTCCCAAGTAGCTGAGACTACAGGCCCCCACCACCACACCCATAATGCCAGGCTAATTTTTGTATTTTTAGTAGAGATAGGGTTTCACCATGTTAGCCAGGATGGTCTCGATCTCTTGACCTTGTGATCTGCTCGCCTCGGCCTCCCAAAGTGCTGGGATTACAGGCATAAATCACCATGCTCCATGCAAAGAATTCATTTTTCTACTTCACTTTTCTGGTTGGAAATAACTTTCCTTTTTTAGAAGCTGTAAAATTTAAGTATTTTAAAACTGCAATCTAGTATTTTTTTAAATAACAGCTTTATTGAGATAATGCACATTGGAATGGCTTAAAAACCTATCAGGGTAATTCAATCTGTAGTTAGATGGGAGGACAAAACTAACACATGCTCTTATTCCAGGCTGAACTCCTCCTAAAGCGAGAGCTTTGGAAAAACTTACTTGAGCCTTTCCAGTTATTCTCTATCCAGGAAATATCTTGAGTCCTGAACTTCCACGCCTTCCTCAAAATCCAGGGGCAGTTCCAGCAACAGCTGGCAAACGAGCTGTCACCATCACGGGAGAAGGCTTAAGGCCACTGTCCTTTATCCTGCCCCCATGAAAGTCATCTGAGACATGGTGGGTGGGCTTTCAAGGGTGTCATGGTCAGCCTGCATATTCTCATGTTTTATAGCCCACTTTATTCTTTACATAATAAAGGAGCCAGTTTTCGGCCAGCGCGGTGGCTCACGCCTGTAATCCCAGCACTTTGGGAGGCCAAGGCAGATGCATCACAAGGTCAGGAGATTGAGACCATCCTGGCTAACATGGTGAAACCCTGTTTCTACTAAAAATACAAAAAATTAGCCAGGCGTGGTGGTGGGCGCCTGTAGTCCCAGCTACTCCGGAGGCTGAGGCAGGAGAATGGCGTGAACCCAGGAGGAGGACGTTGCAGTGAGCGGAGATCGCGCCACTGCACTCCTGGGCGATAGAGACTCCATCTCATAAATAAATAAATAAATAAATAAAGGAGTCGGTTTGTAGGACACGGGCCAGCTTTGCCCTGGCACACAGCAGGTATGCAGCAGCAGTGTGAGTGCCAGCTCAGAACACCCAGCCCCAGCACACAGGGACCAGGCCTGGCTCTCACACCCCAGTGGGTGCTCAAGTGATCTAGTGTGAACTGGCAGCAGCCACCCTATCCCCGAAGAAAGGGGGCTGCTGAGATAACTCTACAGGGAAAGGGGGCACAACTTCTGTAGAAAAGGCCTTCGCCGTTTTCAGACGTGTTTCATGAAATCTGCAGGGCCGGTGGGGAGCCCAGGCAACGGGGCGGGCAGATGTGGGGCCTTCCTCCACAACCAGCAAGTACTCCAGGGTTCTTTTTCTTTTTTGAGACGGAGTCTCGCTCTGTCACCCAGGGTGGAGTGCAGTGGCCGGATCTCGGCTCAATGCAAGCTCCGCCTCCGGGGTTCACGCCATTCTTCTGCCTCAGTCTCCGAGTAGCTGGGACTGCAGGTGCCCACTACCACACCTGGCTAATTTTTTTGTATTTTTAGTAGAGACAGGGTTTCACCGTGTTAGCCAGGATGGTCTTGATCTCCTGACCTTGTGATCTGCCCGCCTCGGCCTCCCAAAGTGCTGGGATTACAGGCGTGAGCCACTGCGCCTGGCTCTTTTCTTTCTCTATTCTAAGAACCCTCTGGCATTCTGCAGGGTGCCTGTGAGAAGGTGCCGGGCAGCATGGCGCATCTGTGAAACAAGACGCCAGAGCATACCCTCTGCTTGCTCAGAAGGAGCAATCAGCCACGAGGAACAAGTGAACGACGCCCAAAGCCGTGTCACATAAAAACACAGTGATCCACACGAGGATGCAGCTGAGGAGGCCTGAGCGCTGCCTGGGGAAGATGTGTCCCGCAGACCCCGGCCACACCACCCTGTTGTCCACTCCTGGGACACGCTGGTCACCACCCGGCAAGAGCTGAGAAATGCACACGACACGCCAGCCATGCTCGGGACTCCAGGAGGCGTGGATGGTGTGGACAGCCCTAAAGTGAGGTCCTTTCAGTTTCTGTGACAGCCAATGAGGTTCCTTTTTCGAGATGGGAGTCTCGCTTTGCTGCCCCAGGCTAGAGTGCAGTTGCATCATCTTGGCTCACTGCAACCTCTGCCTCCTGGGTTCAAGTGATTCTCACGCCTCAGCCTCGCAAGCAGCTGGAATTACAGACATGTGCCACCATGCCCCGCTAATTTTTGTATTTTTGGTAGAGACGGGGTTTCACAATGTTGGCCAGGCTGGTCTTGAACTCCTGACCTCAAGTGATCCACCCACCTCGGCCACCCAAAGCACTGAGATGACAGGCCTGAGCCACTGTACCCAGCCCCAGTGATGTTTAATTTAACTTCTGAAGCTGCCAATACATCTACATGATTCAAAGGTAAACAGAGACAGACCTACACCTTCAAGAGGTTCTGGGAAGGTGGCCGCTTCCACCCCTGCTCTGGACTGCCTGAGCCCTAACCCCATCTCCTACCCATAAGCATTTCTGTTGCTTGTGTTGGTGTTTGCCCATTGGCTGATGGTGTGAATGTGCGTGTGTGCAAAGGTACTGTCCCATCTTGCCTGCATTTTCACAGAGGCACATCCCACACACCCAGCTCCATACCTGGCTTTTGCAGCTCATGGGCGGTCTCTCCTAGCGGCAATGACGCCCAGATGCCAGGTCTCGAGGGGCTGGGCTCTGTCCAGTCTGAGCCACTGCAAACCTCACTGTGATACAAGTGTGGCACTCGCACCCTTCCCCTGGCCCCTCCCCCACTGAGCACCACATCCCGATGCTCCTGCCCAGCACGAGTGACCCTGTGGCCTCTGCTGTCCCCTCCCGGTTTGGTCGGCCCCACCCTGGTCCCCTCCTATCACTGGTGCCCAGCGCATGAGCACCCTCTCGTTTTATCAGATTCTGCAGGCTCCTAACTGATGCCATCACCAGGAACAATTCCAGCACCAGCCTGTCCCACTCATCCTGCTGTGGGATGACTCAAAGTTGGAAAATTCTTTTTATTCTGTTGCCAAGGCTGGAGCGCAGTGGTGTGATCATAGTTAACTGCAGCCTTGACCTCCCAGGCTCAAGCTATGCTGCTGCCTCAGACTCCCAAGTAGCTAGGACAACAGGCACATGCCACCACACCTGGCTAATGTTTTTGATTTTTAGTAGAGAGGGGGCCTTACTATGTTGCCTAGGCTGGTCTCAACCTCTCAGGCTCACGTGATCCTCTGCCCTGGCCCCCACAATGCTGGGATCACACATGGGAGCCACCACACCCGGCCTGATGCTGGGATCACAGGTGGGAGCCACTGTACCCAGCCTGGAAAATTCTTTATGGTGCCTTTGACCCATTCCTCCTAACGTCCCCCCAGCCTCTCCACTGCACCATGGGCCACAATTGTGTTTGAAGGTGGCTATGACATGTCCACCAGTCTCTTCAAAGCAAAGCACCCCCAGGCCTCTCAGCCCTACAAGACGTCATAGTACCACCTGCTGTATGGTAAAGTGTCACCTACATACGTGTACTCCTCGTGTCAGGGTCTAATTAACAAGCAGATGGAATAAATGCTTCTAAATCAAGGAGGAAACCACGCCGTCTGTCTTACTGGTCTTAAGAGGTTACTAAGCTTTTTAGCAAATTTCTCATCCATGATGGAAGGCAAGAGCATGTAACCCACGACAAGCTACAGACGTACGTATCAGCCGGGCACGATGGTGCACACCTGGAGCCCCCCACTGCAGGAGGATGAATGGCACTTGAGCCCAGGGGTTCAAAACCAGCCTGGGCAACATGGTGAGACCTTATCTCTACAAAAAAAAAAAAAAAAAAGCCAGGCCTGGTGGTGCATGCCTGTAGTCCCAGCAATTCGAGAGGCTGAAGCAGGACGATCACCTGAGCCTGGGATTTCAAGGCTGCAGTGTGCCACGATCACGCCACTGCACTTCAGCCTAGGTGACAGGGCAAGACCCTGTCTCTTAAAAAAAAAAAAAAAAGCTACATCAGACATTAAAAGGCTGAGCAGCACATCCTGCGTTTGTTTTTGGGATAAAGTGTGTCAGCCTTGGGCAGATGCATGTGGATGCCTTGTCATGGACAAGGCTGAACCCTGTGCTCCAGCTGGAAGGGACAGGGCCAGGCCCATGATGGCAGAGATCCTGCCGGCTCCCAGGGCTTATGGAGGCACCACTGCAGCCAATATGCCAGAAGATAGCCTCTTGGCATTTTTTTTTTGAGACAGGGTCTGGCTCGGTCACCTAGGCTGCAGTGCTAGGGCACAATCTCAACTCACTGCAACCTCTGCCTCTTTCAAGCGATTCTCCCACCTCAGCCTCCTGAGTAGCTGGGATTACAGGTACCCGCCACCACGCCCGGCTAACTTTTTTTTTTTTTTTTTTGGGGAGAGACAGGGTTTTGCCATGTTGCCCATGCTGGCCTCAACTCCTGAGCTCAAGCAATCTTCCTGCACTGGCCTCCCAAAGGGCTGGGATTACAGGCATAAGCCACCATGCCTGGCCATTTATTTATTTATTTATTTAGAGACAGAGTTTCACTCTTGTTGTCCAGGCTGGAGTGCAGTGGCGTGATCTCGACTCACTGCAACCTACACCTCCTGGGTTTAAGTGATTCTTCTGCCTCAGCCTCCCGAGCAGCTGGGATTACAGGCACATGCTACTACCATGTCCAACTAATTTTTGTATTTTTGGTAGAGAGAGGGGGTTTCACCGTGTTGGCCAAGCTGGTCTCAAACTCCTGACCTCAGGTGATCTGCCCACCTCAGCTTCCCAAAGTGCTGGGATTACAGGTGTGAGCCAATGCACCCAGCCAATTTTTTTTTTTTTGGTGACAGTCTTATTCTGTCGCGAGGCTGGAATGCAGTGGCGCGATCTCGGCTCACTGCAACCTCCGCCTCCCAGGTTTAAGTGATTCTCCCACCTCCACTTGAGTAACTGGGACCACAGACGTGCACCACCACACGGCCAGCTAATATTTGTATTTTTTAGTAGAGATGGGGTTTCACCATGTTGGTCAGGCTGGTCTCAAATTCCTGGCCTCAAGTGATCCACCTGCCTTGGCCTCCCAAAGTGCTGGGATTACAGGCATGAGTCACTGCATCCAGGCTTTCTTCTTTTAAACTTTCATTACGTATTCATGTACTTCTTGATTCCCCCAGGTTTATGAAGGTGTAACTGACATTTAGATGTAGGCATTCGTAGCGCACACTGTGATGTTTCTATACGTGCCTACACTTGTGTGCTTTATTTCTTCACAGCAGGCTGAGATGTGTAAGCTCAGAAGCAAAACTTTTACACATCTAATTCTTTAAGAAGTAACCCAAACAAGGAAATCCGTAGTGTTTTGAGCGTGCCTGCTTTGTGTACTTGGTGAAGCCTCACTGACACTGTTACCTCTTGCTAAATCGCAGCCCTGCAGTGGGAAGGCCTCAGCCACTGCTGCCTGCCGGTCAGTGTCAGCAGACACGAGGCACCTCTCCCCAGGCGCTGCAGGCCCACCTTCCCTCCCAGATGAAGTCGTGCAATCCCACAGGCGATCATCGACTCTTCTCTGGGGGCCACCTTTATCCCGGGGTGGGGTTGGAACTGGCTGTGTGTACCTCTTCCCAACTCCACATTCTGGGACGTTCTATTGGGGTTTCAGGGCAGCCAGGGTGGAGGCACAGACACCACAGAACGGGCAAGTCCACCCGAGACACGGCCCCCAGCGCAGCACTGCCCAGGACTGCCACGAAGGGCAGAAAGCCCCAAGCCACAGATGTTGTTTCCTGGCCTGGAGGTGTCTGAAGAAACGCAAGGCCACACCCAACGCAGCCACTGCTGGCCTCTGGCTGAGGAAGCCCTGAGAGTGGCTTGCAGGCCCCACGCTCCCTGGCCGGACCCAATAACAGAGTCTGTGCCCCCAACCCCAGCATGGCCGGCTGAATCCTTTCCTGTCTCACGAACACACACATAAGGCAAGTGGGGCTCCCGACACAGCCTGAATCTCCAGTTCCCAGAACACACCGTCTCCCATCCCATGCACTGTGCTGGGATTTAAGGGACTCACTGAAGACAGGCACTGCGTGCTCCTAAGGGTGCAGCCTCTTAACTCTGCTGCGTGTGGCGCTTACGCTCGAGCCCAGCACGCGGCTGTGCTCCTTACCCCCCTCGTAGTAGTGCTGTGTGGACTCCTCGAATGACCGGTCGTAGCTCTGCTCCGTGTAGGATGACTGCTGGTAGGCGTAATCGCCGTGGCCTGTGTGAAACGGAGACGGCGACAGTCAGCGGAAGCTGCGCACTGCACAGGTCCCGGAAGAGGCAACTGAGACCCAGGCTGGGGAGATGCTGTTGGGCCAGGGAGGCACCCAGAGCCAGCAGGACCCGTGCCCCCCCAGACCATGTGCCAACCTCCTGAGCCTCGGCCTCCTCACTGAAATGCAGACATCAATGCCTCCTTCTCGGGGCGACTGTGAAGCTACCTGGGGGTTTATGCAGAGGATCAGTGCTCTCGATGCCCACCACACGGCCACGCTGTGACCCAACCACCTTCTCCTCCCCACTGCTGGCTCCTGGGAGGACGCGGGCAGGGGTGTCTGACCCTCACTGAGGCTTTCGTTGCAAGGTGGCTTGCCCTGCTGCCACCTGCCCACCTGCCTGCACACCTGCCCCTTGCTGGCTGAGGCCAGCTCCCTGCCTGGATGCCTCCTAGGGATCAACCCAGCCTTTAAGACCACTTTATTTGATTGTTATTTTCACTTTAGAGACAGAGTCTTGCTCTGTCACCAAGGCCGGCGTGCAGTGGCGCAATCATGGCTCAATGCAGCTTCTGCCTCCTGGGCTGAAGCGATCCTCCTGCCTCAGCCTCCCAAAGTCCCAGAATGACAGGTGTGGACCACTGTGCTCAGCCAAGCCACTTTCAGCATCCCCTCCACAAGCCCTGGGCTATGGAAAGACTGAAAGGTGACGAAGGTAAAATGCAGAGATGAGAAGGGCCAGGAGGGGGTGCTGCAGGTGGAGCCGTCACCTTCAGGGCATTGTCTGGGAAGCTGGGAGGCTTCTTAAACGTTTCCACCTATCTACGGCTGGGGGCTGCAGCTCTCCGCCTCCAACTCCCACACCCTTTCAGGAAGAAGAGGAGACGCCACGCGAGCGCAGTGGTGTGTGCCTCAGCTTCTCTCTGCAGAGACCAGGCACCACTGCCAGTCTAGCTCAGCCCATCCCCTGCCTCGCTCCTGCAGGGCATCTGGCCGCTCTGCCTGTAGCCCAAGCCTGAACTGGAATACTGGGGACGCACTGCAGTGGCCACACTCTCCTTGCCCTCCTCGCCCCTGCAGCTGCTCTGCTGTCCTGGGCGGGGTCAGGCCGCCGCCAGTGCTCACCGTCGGGGTAGTACTGCTGGCCCATGGGCTCTGCGGCGCCCTGGCTGTGGCTGTACTGCTCGCCATAGTACTCCTCCTGGCCCAGGTACTGCTGGGAAGAGCCTGCAGGGGAACCACATTCAGCGCCAGTGCGGGCCGCACCCTCCTCCCTTGGAGGACCTCCTCGCTCGCTGGGGAAGCCAAGGCCTCGCTAAGCGGCCTCACCCACCCCAGGAGAACACCCCACGCTGTCACCGTATCCAACTTATTTTTTGTATTTTTAGTAGAGATAAGGTTTCACCATGTGGCCAGGTTGGTCTTGAACACCTGGCCTCAGGTGATCTGCCCACCTCGGCCTCTCAAAGCGCTGGGACTACAGGCATGAGCCCGGCCTGTGACACTCTTAATGACAACTGCCGCCCCTGCCCCCAACCCTGACTCCTCGGGGATAGCAGACCCTCCACGGGCCACACCCCAGCCCTCACCCCCAGTGTCACACCAAGGCCCCAAGCCTCACTCCCCCAGGCTCCCCACAGACAAGCACACAGCCTGGCACTTCACCAGCCGGGGCGGTCAGCCGTGCCCGAGACCTGGCCTGGCTGGGCGTTACCTTGCTGGGAGGGCCGGTAGGGTGCCATAGGCCGCTGCCCCATCATGCTGCTCCCCTGGCTGCCCTGCCCCATCATGGCGATGGACGACTGGCCCTGGTAGTGCTGGCTGCCGCCCTGAGCCGAGCTGTAGTGCGACGTGGCCGCCTGCTGCTGCATCATGGAGACTGCACGACAGGACAGGGGCCCCACATCACCCCGGGAAGCCTCCCTCCCTCCCTCCCACACCCAACTACCTCCTGCGCCCAGGCAGGTTCCTCGTTATTTTCCTGTGCTCCGCACGAGAACGTCACCCTCCCCTGAAAGGCCTGCACTGACGCCCTGCATGCTCAGACCTGCTGCTTACACTGACTATTTGAAAATGTGCCGACGTGCAGAAAACAGGGAGAGCCCCTGGGCAGGAAGATCCAGTGGCTTCCACAGCCAACCACCACCTTTCCACCTCTCCTCGGACACACAGCTCCCGTGACAATCCCACTTGCGCCGTGGCTCGAGTCCTGTTCTCCCCAGTCCCTTGAGCTGGCCCCAGGGGTCACACTGTCCCCTCCTTAGTCCTGTTCTCCCTGGTCCCTTGAGCTGGCCTCAAGGGTCACACTGTCTCCTCCCTAGTCCTGTTCTCCCTGGTCCCTTGAGCTGGCCTCAGGGATCACACTGTCCCCTCGTTAACACCTGTGCAACCTCGCAGCCCTTCACGTTGGCCTGTCGTACACGTCCTCTGCTCAGAAGCCCCTAGTGGAGCCCCGTCCAACAGAAATGACACAAGCCACGCTTTTTAAAGTTTCTAGTAACCACATCAAAAAAGTAAAAACAAACAGGTGAAATCCATTTTAATCATGCATTTTATTTGAGTCAGTATGTCCAAAACAAACGCTTAATACTCAGTTATTGTGAGAAAATCCTAAGGAGGTCCTTGGCACCCTTTTTTGGCACTAAGCCTCTGAAGTCCATGTGTCTCCAACACTCAAGAAACTCAACCAGGACCGACGCCCACGAAACGCGACCGGGGCCGATGCTCATGGAACGCGACGGGGACCTGCTGCTTCTCAACTGCCCAACACCACACGTGGCCACCATGGCGGATGGCCCCACTCTTGGGCTCCTGCTGCCCTGCAGAAAGGCTGGGGCCTCTGGCCCAGCGCTTCTGGCCCCTTGTCTTCTCCACTGAGGTGCCTCTAGCCAGGCTGTTCCCTCCCTGGGGAACAACTCTACTCCCCCACCTCTGAGAGCCCAGTGCTCTGTCCAGACCCAAGGCCAGTAGCCCCCACTCCCTGAAGCATTCCCTGAGACTCCATGGGAAACACCCCAACCCCTCACAAAGCTGGGGGACAGGAGGGGTTGGCTGTGTACCCACTGGTGACCATCCCTCCGGAAGCTCTCCGAGGCGGCGGCCAGCCCTGATTCACGGGCCCCTCTCCCGCAGCACCCAGCAAGAGGGCAGCTCCCCAGGGACACATATCCAACATGCATGTGTCAAGGGTCTTGGAGGCAGGCCCAGGTCCCCCGGGGTTGCAGAGGCACAGGAGGTACCTGGGTTGGACTGCATGTTGATGTTGGTCCGAGACACGTAGTTGCCGATGGTGCCTTGCCCCTGCATGGGGACGCCCTGTGAGGCGGGCCCCGCGTGGCTGTAGCCAGGCCCCGAGATGCTCATGGAGGTGGTGGGCAGCGTATTAGGCGCCGTCTGCTGCATGGATACGTGGCTCGGCCCTGGCAGGAGGAGCAGGGAGTGGTGTCAGGCGCTGGGGAGCCAGGTCACCACTTCTGAAGGTGAAGACGCCCCAATTTCCCTTCAAATGATTTTGGGAAGAGATTCTATCAACATCACTATTAATGATTAAGTGACTAAAAAAGAAATAAGTGGCCTGGTGCAGTGGCTCATGCCTGTAATCCCAGCAGTCTGGGAGGCTGAGGTGGGTGGATCACCTGAGGTCAAGAGTTCGAAACCAGCCTGGACAACATGGTGAAACCCCGTCTCTACTAAAAATACAAAAAAATTAGCCAGGTGTGGTGGCGGCAGGTGCCTATAATCCCAGCTACTCGGGAGGCTGAGGCAGGAGAATTGCTTTAACCCGGGAGGCGAAGGTTGCAGAGAGCCAAGATCATGCCCATTGCACTCTAGCCTGGCCGACTAGAGCAAGACTCTGTCTCAAAACAAAAAAAAAGAAAGAAAAAAAAGCAGCATACATGCTAGCAAAGTACAGGATGCACTGTTTGTTTGTTGTTATTTTGTTATTTTCTGAAACAGGGTCCAGCTCTGTCACCCAGGCTGCAGGGCAGCGGCACGAACACGGCTCACTTCAGCCTCACCCTCCCAAGCTCAAGTGACCCTCCCTCCTCAACCTCCCAAGTATTAAGCAGTTTGGACCACGAGTGGGCACCATCACACCCAGCTAATATTTTTATTTTTTATAGAGACGAGGTTTTGCCATATTGCCCAGGCTGGTCTCAAACTCCTGGCCTCAAGCAATCTGCTGGTTTAGGACTTACAAAGGGTTGGGATTAAAGGTCTGAGCCACCATGCCCAGCCTGTTATATTACTATTAATAGTCTCCAAATGTTACTCATGCTTCTTAATTCAAAGACAGGAGCATTCCATTCTTATTACACAATCCACCTGGAACCCGGCAACTTGCATTTGAAGTGAATGGAGTATGACAGTGTCAGAAAGAGCAGGCGATCTGGAGCAAGGGCTCATCCCAGCTGCATGGCAAGCTCGCTGCAGCCCTGAGCCTGGGCGATGGCAGCTGACCTGTGGCTACCCCAGGAAGAATGGGTCCCCATGCCCAGCCCTGTGACGGGTGGGGTGCCCCACCATGGCAGCTGCCTGCCCAAGGGCTGCCTTGGTGGCCTTGTGACCAGGAATGCCCTCCTGCCCCGCCGCACTCACCGTTGCCAATCTGGCCCTGCAGGAGGGAGGAGGGTGGCAGGCCCGTGCTGATGGCGTCACTCAGGCTGCCCTGGGAGTGCAGGCCCTGGCTGGAGCCACTCTGAGTCAGGGCTCCAGGGCCCAGGTTCATGTTCTGCGTGGGCGGCTGCAGGCAACAGGAAGTTTTCAGGGAAAACGGTTAATTCACGGAGAGCGACCTCCACAAGCCAGGCCAGGGATGAGAAGGTGCCTGAGATTTGCTGCCACATGTCATGGCCACCTGGTCCATATTCGTAATCAACAGCCATTGTCACAGCCAGGTGACCTCCGAGCACCAGGCCCAGATGGAGACGGCATAGTGAGCGTCTGGGTGAGCGTTCGGAACTCTGCTAGTATCGAGTTCATCCACACATGCCTGGGTTTGAAAAGCTGGACCTCCTTCTCCTGGGACAGCAGGGAACCCCTTCCCCTGTCCACCCCAATGCACCCTGTCCTTCTCGGGCGCAGCTGGCCAGCGCCTCTGTGCTCCCCGTCCACGACCCTCCAAGCCGAGGGCCTTGGCACAGGCGGGATCCCTCTCCTATTTTCCGTGCTCCTGCTGCGTGTGCCCTGTCCCCTCACTCCCCCCACCCCATGCCCACCTTGGATCACACCACACAGAAGGGAGTGTGAAGTGACCCTCAGCACTCTCCCAGATCAAGGTCAAACAGCAGCTCTGGAGGTATGCACACACCCGCTGTCTACAAAAAAAGGAAATTTCCACCAGGACCTGCGGGTGTCTGCAGGGTGAAGAACTGCAATGTGACAGGTCAATGGAGGTGGGTTTAACATTTTTACTCACGAAATGCATTCCTGGCATTTACATCATCACTTGCCGAGGACTAAGGGTCACTAGGAGATACGGCATTCCCGGTGACAATTTAATTTTGGAAAAATGCATTTAAAAAAATCAAACAAAATACAATATTTGAACTATCATTGGGAAAATTTACTGTGCTGGGCACGTTTTCTTTTAAGTTCTGTTTTCACCCACAGCAGCACATGTGCATGGTTCACAACTGCTCAAAGCACCCGGAGAGGTTCCAGGGAGACGCGGGGCCCCCATCCCATCTCTCCCCACCCCCGACCCCAGAGCTGCGGCCGTTCCTACAGTGGTTCTTCCAGGACTTCCCTCCCTTCAATACATACAGAGGCTGAACCACAGTTCCGACCCGGCCACCTCAGACGCCGTCGTTACCTCCAGTCTGTCAGGAAGGGTTGGTCACCACCACCCACACTCCCGTTTCTGGTGACTCTAGTGTTATTTTTGGTTTCTCTGAGTCATCTTTGTTACCTGAGGTGACATGCCCACAACTCCCGATTTTAGGCAGTGTCGGAGTCCTTGCTGGGTAAAGGGGACCACCCCCAGCGGGTACTCACGGCAGGAAGCAGGGACTGCATGTTCTGGTTGGAGTCTGCGATCGTGGCCAGGTATACCAGGTTCCGGTGCAGGATTTGCTGGTACCTGCAGGAGAGGGGGCATGCACGAGGCAGGAGGATGGGACCACGGAGTCCCCAGGTGGATCCAATGCAGAAGTAAAGTGTGAACACCACAGTCTGACAACCAGCCAAACCCCATGAGGACACGGACTCCAGATGACACCCAGGGACAGGCCAGCTGGTTGCCCAGCTGGACATAGGCAGGTGGCAGGGTGCTGGGGTCTAGGTGGGGACGGCAGGGCAGCCTCTACCCCAAACCCTGAGCAGGCTCCCATCCCATGCCAAAACCTCTGGAAAGACTCTAAGGCAGCAGCTAAATGGGAGCTGGCACTGGTCTGCTCAGAGAATGGAAATGGGGGAGGCCACGAGGAGGTAGGGGCCTGAAGGTGACAGAGGGACAGAGCCCTTGTCCAGCTGAACCAGGCAGTGGGCAGACTCCATAGAGCCAGCGACCCTGAGAAAGCCCTGGAAAGAAATGGGGAAGCACAGTTCTGCCAGGGAAGGCCCCTCGTACACCTCACACCAGTGGGGCCCCAGTCACCTCACCCCACTCACACCCAGGGGTGTCTGAGGCCATTCACCTACTTCCCACCTCCAGGTCAGCCTGATGGCCACTCGGACAGCCACTTGGAGGGTGGCAGACTGGCCATGCACCCCTCCTCTGTGTCAGGCCCTAGGGTCACAGGAGGTCCCACCTGGAGGAGGTGCTGTCTCCTGGCTCACTGGCTGTTGGCCGTAGAGCTGCCCACAGAGGCTGGCCCGGGCCTCCCCACACTGCTCTTTCCTCCCGCCTCCCTCGGAACTACCCCAGTTCTGGCAGCAACGCTTCGCAGCTGTGCTGGGGCCTCTCGGGACGTATCTGACCTCCCCGCTGAGGGGCTCTCGGGACTTATCTGGCCTCCATGCTGGGGGGCTCTCGGGATGCTGGGGGCTCTCGACTTATCTGGCCTTCCATGCTGGGGGCTCTCGACTTATCTGGCCTCCATGCTGGGGGGCTCGGGACTTATCTGGCCTCCATGCTGGGGGCTCTCGGACGTATCTGGCTCCCCATGCTGGGGGCTCTCGGACGATCTGGCCTCCATGCTGGGGACTCTCGACGTATCTGACCTCCATGCTGGGGGCTCGGACGTATCTGGCCTCCATGCTGGGGGCTCTCGACGTATCTGCCTCCATGCTGGGGGCTCTCGACTTATCTGGCCTCCATGCTGGGGCTCTCGACGATCTGGCCTCCATGCTGGGGGCTCTCGGACGCATTCGGCCTCCATGCTGGGGGCTCGGACGATCTGGCCTCCATGCTGGGACTCGACGATTCGACTCCATGGGGGCTCTCGGACGATTCGGCCTCCCATGCTGGGGGCTCGACGATCTGGCCTCCATGCTGGGGGACTCTCGACTTATCTGGCCTCCATGCTGGGGGCTCTCGGACGATTCACCTCCATGCTGGGGACTCTCGGGACGTATCTGACCTCCATGCTGGGGGGCTCTCGGGACATAGCTGGCCTCCATGCTTAGAGTCTGCATGACCCCCCAAAGTGTTCCGTGGATAGCGGGCGGGCACTCACTGCGTGCACTCGGCTGTCTTGCCCTTGCTCTGGTACTCCAGGATGCACTGGATCAGGTGGTGGTTCTCGTCCAGCATCTGCGGAGAGAGCGTGAGCGGGCGCTGCCGACGCGGGGCTGCCGCTGGCCCTCGGGATGAACCGCCACCGCGACACATCTAGTTTTCATATAGGTTGAGTGGCCCTTACGTGAAACGTGTCACATTTCAGATTTTTCCAGATTTGGAGATACCTGTTTTAGACCCACCGGTTTGGCATCCCGAATCCGAAAACCTGAAATGCTCCGATGAGCATTTCCTTTGAGCCTCATGTTGGCGCTCAAAGTTCTAGATTTTGGAGCACTTCAAATTTCCAGATTTGGGATGCTACGCCCGTTCTGTACATGAAGCTGTCGTTACATGCATGGCCTCAGCCACCACAGACCAAACATTCACACATCCCTGTGCTAAGGACTTCACCAGTAAGCGGCAGGGCCATCTCAGCCCACAGATGAAAACATGGAGGCTCTGTGCCTCCAGCAGCCCCCACCCTGAAGGACCCTCCAGCTTCCAGGGCCCTTGACTGCAGAGCATCTGTGCAGCAAGGGTCAGCCAAGTCGACAGCAAGGATGTCAGGACCCCGTGGGCAGCCCACAAGAGGCCCTGGAGCCCCCAGCTGGAGGGGACAGCCTCAAATCGCAACCACACAGGGTGGGACACAGGTAGCTGCCCCCCTCAGGATCAGCAGGGGTCCAGGGCACTCCTAGGTGGGGGGCATCAAGACTTCCTGCAGGGGCTGCCACCAACCGGGGTGGGGGAGGGAAGGAAAGGGTCTGGGAGGGGCGGGGACAGCACTACGGGTAGAAGAAACCACACACAACACAGGCTGGCGTGGGGGCAGGAAAGGTGGGTGAGACTGCGGAACCGGGCATGACCTGGACCTGGGGCTGGCGACCCGCAGCCCTCACCCCTGGAGTGCTGAAATGCAGCAGAACAGCAGGACGGGCCCACAGGCCACACAGGGAAGGCCAGTCCCGTCTTGAACCTTCTGTATGTTACACATAAAGTGTGTGTGCACAGACAGGGTCATGACTCCAAACCCAGATTAAACCAGTCTTAAGTGACTCAGGTGAACGGCCAGATGTGGGCCTCCCAGAGCTGGGCCGGGGTCTCTGTGCAGGCACCACGTGCTCCTAGAACAGGCAAAATGGAGGCAGATTCTGGTTCAGGGACAGCCAGGCACACACTCCGCCAAGCACGCTCCACGTTCAAGATGGGCACTGCCAGGAACCTGTCAGATGCAGGGGCTCAGCCTGTCTGTGACCTGGTGACCCGTGTGCCTGGCCGCACCTGAGCAGCAAGGGGCTGGGCCCACAGATTCCCCAGGTTTCCTTCCCAAAGGGCCTCCCGAACATGCTAGTGTGGCCCCAGGGGGGGTTCTGGAGCACTCCCAAATCAAGCGGCCCAAGGCCTTGTGTCCACACACCTGCACGTGCTCAGGATGTGCTGAGTCTGGTGGTTGGTAGAAGTGGGGAGGGGTGGGTGGCAGCAGAGGAACAGGGACTGGGGCCAGGCGGCATCCTGCAGACACCACACAGGATACCCACGGGCCATGGGGAGCAGGCACAAAAGAGCCGGCTCTTCCAAGGTGTCCACCTGGGGGCAGCACTGGGTGGCCCATGGAGACCCAACAGGAGGTGAAAGAGGAAAGAGGGGGCATGGGAGGAGACTGAAAAGAGGGGACACCCGCCCTGTGACCAGTCGCCTCCACCTGCAGGGAAGCACAGGACTGAGCCCACCATACCTGCTGCTTTCCATAAAAAGGCCTTTGCTCAGAGGCTAGCACCCAAGGAAGAAGCCGCGCCTTTTCGCCCCACCACAGCGTGCTGGGTCATCTCAGCCCTATGAGGCTGCTCCCAGCAGGAGCTCAACAGGCCCTGGAGCAGCGGACCCCTAGGGCAAGGGGAGGAGGAGCTCACCTGCCTGCCTGGGGACCTGGGGCCGTCCACCCTGCAACGTGGTTGTGCCTCTACCCTGCAACGTGGCCCCTTTAACTGCAGTCTGACCTTGGGGCCCAAACCCATCCACAGGCAGAGGGAGTCCAGGGCAGAGAGAGCCCAGCCAGGCCACCTAGCAGAGCAGAGCCTGGACCCACAGCCCCAGCTAAGTGACTGCCCTCGACTCAGCTTCCTCCTCCGCCCGTCTCCACAACTTCAGGATTGGTTTATCCTGCTCTATTTTTTCTTTAAGTTATACCTTCCCCCTTTCCACTCTTTACCACTTTTCTCCCTGCTGGGGACAAGGTGGCCTGCACTCAGCTGAGCCCAGTGGGGCTGAGGAGCCGTCCTGAGACGGGGGCGCCGCCAGGGGGCGCTGCGGGCCAGGCTTACCTGTGGGCAGGTGAGGGTGAGTCCACCTGCCAGGCGCTGGCATTCCAGATGGCTCTGCCTCCAGATGAACTGAAGGAAGGGGACAACTATGGGCTTACTTGCTTTCCCTTTAAGTGCTTCCCCTTCTCGGCTCCTAACCCCCAGGCAGAGATTGTCTCCAGAGACACGAACTAGACCCGGCCGGCGTTTCAGCATCACTCCCAGCACGGGGCTGGGATGGGCTGGGGGGCGCAAGCCGCCGACTTCATCAAGCAGAGCCCCGCGGTTGTGCACTGGCCAGGGCAGTGCCGCAGAGTTTATGCACGCACAACAAAACACAGTACAGGTGTGCGTTTCTAAAAAACTGGATACAGAGAACTTTCTCACATGTTACACACATACCTATTTCTAAAAGGGCCGGACAGGTGGAACGAAAGGTGGCAGACTGGACGCCCCAAGCCCCAGGCCCCGGCCGGCAACTGAGGATGGAACAGTTATGGCCTTCTACGGACAGAAAGGGGAGGGCACAAGACAGCAGCCACGGGAGTTTGAAGCTGAAGAGCACATGGACGAGTGACAACCAGATCAGTGCCCCCAGGGCGCCTGGCCTGAGCCACACTGTGCTGCGAAGCCCCACAAGGCTCAGGAATGTTAAGATGCTGGACCTTTTGCCCAGGATCTGCCGGTAGGAGATGGGACTGGATGAGGGGGGCGTCTCCAGGAAAGTGACCAGCCTGGAGGAAAGACACTGGGCACTGAAGGGAATGTGCACCTCAGAGCGAACCACAGACCGACCACACGCCTGCCTGAGCACAGCAGGCGGTGCTCCGACCTCCAATCCCCAGAAGCCACAACAGTGCCATTTGAAAGACAAAGGCCAAAACCAGCCACAGAGGCCAAAATCCAGAGACGAAGGTTATGCAAGATGGAAACTTTTTTTCTATTGCTTTTCTTCTGAGACAGGGTCTCGCTCTGTCACCCAGGCTGGAATACAGTGGTGTGATCTTGGCTCCCTGCAACCTCCACCTCCCAGGCTCAAGTGATCCTCCTACCTCAGCCTCCCGAGTAGCTGAGAATACAGGTGTGTGCCACCATGCCTGGCTAAATGCCTTTTTTTTTTTTTTTTTTTTTTTTGGGTAGAGACAAGGTCTCCCTGTGTTGCCTCAGGCTGGTCTCGAACTCCTAGGTTCAAGTGATCCGCCCGCCTTGGCCTCCCCAAGTGCATGAACCATTGTGCCCGGCCTGAAACTTTTTAAAAAAAATCCAAGAAAACCGATTATTAATATCCTCACGAAGATAGCTGGTGCAGTGACGCAGGTTACTGGAGCCTCAAAAAAGATGATGCTGGTTAGAAACAACAGAGGGAAGAGCTCTGGAGGTGAAAACCTGTTAGCCATAACACAACTCAACAGAGGAGCAGAATATGAAGTTGAAGAAGAGTCCCAGAAAGCAGGACGGATCGACCGAGGAGAAAACAGAAAGATTGCGAAGAGAGGAGTGGACCAGCGCGGCCCTCCAGGAGCCCCAGAGATAGGAGCAGCGAAGAAATCACCCCCAAATCCTTCAATCAGAGCTGAAGGACGCATTTCCCCATCGGAAGGGCTCTCAGGTGACCAGTCTGCCAAAAAAGACCAGGGACAAAGAAAGATCCTAAACATGACAGGAGAGAAAAACCAGGTTCCACGTGAAGGACAGTGAATTCTGAGGGCATGGAGCCTCCTACGTGGGCCCGCAGGGGGTGACAATCCCAAGGAGACTTCCGGAGGAGCTGTGTTCCATACCAAGGGACACCCCCTGAGGGGCAATGACCCAGGCCCAACGGAGACCTCGGGGGGGCCGATGGCCTGGCCTGAGGGAGGCTCTGAGGGAGAGATGAACTCACCACGGAGGCTTCCAGAAGGGCTATGGTCTGATCCTGAGGGAGACTTCTGCACAGAAATTGTCAGCCAAGACCCCAACCAGGAATGAAGGGAGAACGGACGCACTTTCAGACCCGCAAGTTAGGGAAACGTACCCTGTACCCAAACCAAGGGCACTCGATGACTGGCTGGCATTCTTCGAAAACTGCCAGTCATCAAAGATAAGGAAAATGGATGAGTGGTTCTCAACCAGGAGAGACTCAACAGACATGGTCCCAGGGTCCTTCCAATAATCCTTAATGATGTTCTACAAAGGCCATTACCGGGACAACAGGGAAGTCAGAGTGAGTCAGAGCAGATGGCTGCACTGCTGCCACATCAGCTCCCCCATTTCAATCTTTGTACAGTATCATGTCCATGTTGGCAGCAAAGTCACGCTCAAGTATTTGGGAGTAAAGGGGCACCAAGTCTACAATTCATTCTCAAATTGTCAGGGCAAAAGTAACGTGTCCACAGGACAGAAGAGGGGAGGGGACAGCAAATGAGGTGGCGTTAACATGCGGGCAGTGAGATGAGGGGAGTATGGGAATTCTGTTTAAAGGGGCACATCCCAAACACCTGTTCTCAGGAGGCCATAAAATGATGCGCCTCCCTCCCCAAACCAAGGGAGCAAATCCCAGGAGAAGATCCAAGACCCAACCCAAGAGAAGCTAAAGGAATTTGGCCAATGGTGGGAGGCCCACGGAGAGCAGCCCCAAGACTGAAACCCAGAAGAATACCTGAGCGAAGGAGGAGATACACTAGTGACAAGTGATCAAAAAGAAAAACAAGCAACAACTCCAGGGAAAACAAAAGCCAGGTAGGAAAAGCAGTC